TCGAAGGAAATATAGTCAAATAAATACTGAACATCGTCAAGATTACCGGTCCTGACTAACACTAGAAAATTCATACTGTTAAGCACCGGGTAAGATGGTGCATACAAATCCCAAAAAAGGCAGTTTCTCGGGAAAGACTGAGGGCCATTGTCCCTAACTAAACGGAAAAAGAGGCAGACCCAACCTGGGTTCCGTCCTGTAGGAGGGTGCCTCGATCACAGTTCGTCTTTCCGGTAAGTTGTGGAACAGTGACATTGCTTCCAGCAATCATTATTGCTGGTTTCACTTAACTTGACTCTTCGAACCCTCGGGGACTATGGCAGAACCTGCAGAACCAAGGTGTCTTCTTTAAATTCGTGAATCCCCATAGGGGGTCTCATGCCAACTTCCGTGGAAGTGTGATGGTCCAAGGTAAGCTTTTGCCTGTGTTCAATACATCAAGTGGTGTCATACGAGGATACCCATCTCTCGCCTTTCCTCTTTAACTTCGTCATCGATATCATCATGCACAACTCGTTACCAGCCTTTACTGGTAATCTACTGGAATTAAAATGCTTCCTGAATGTTTGTTGACAAATATCGAGCTCATAGACAGTATAATTCCTTTAAAAAACCCTCATGGAATAAGCAATATTGGTCCATCTAAATAATTCGGTCATACAGTTTGGTACGAGCCTCATATTGGCAAAACTGAGCAGGAGCAAATCTGAACCCAGTGCTCGCGGATGGGCTACTGAGGTGACAGACAGGAATTAAATCAGCTCATCTGTGAAGGGTTGAGTTGACAAGGCTGTGGTGAGCTCCATACACTCATATGGGTTAGAAACCTTACCCATGCGACTTAAGGATGTTTGATCACTGTTGTCTTCAGAGCACTACCAAAGTCTAGTGTGAACATCGAATCAGTACTGTTGAGGTAAATCCTACAATCTTCCTGGAGCAGCTGATCACAACCCATAGACTGCGCTAGTGCGGTCATGAGCTCGTGTGCCAGTCGACTGACATCCTTCAACAGCCTTTTCACTTAGATACATGTGAGTGACTATCCGCCACTTTACTCCTAGATAATCAATGGACGAAACTGTGGGAGGGATAGTCAAAGTACAGTATGGGTGCTGTTCAAGACTGAAGTAGAGGACTATGATCGTCAGATGAAAATCAGTAGAGACTAGGGGATCACACCTAATCGGTCCACAGAATGGCGAAATCGATAGTAGACCGTTGAAGAGTTGTATGCAGCCTATTACGTAGTGTTACCACCACATGAACCTAGTTCGTCATATCTGTTTGCTACCAGTGTAATCTGTCTGTTCTCCTACACTTAGAGAGACACCTACGTCGGCAGACCAGACTCATCTACCGGAGCGCGTGGCTGGCCGTTCACTATTCTATATCCTAAGGGAGCGTCGCACTGGACTCGGAGGTCAAATCTTGACACAGCATCTTCGGCCACCGAGATCTTCATTCAGGTGGGCCATCAAACAGATCCGTAAGACTTGTTTCGTCCGTATAGCCGAAAATTACCATTAAAAAGTAAGAGCCTGTTCAACAGATTCCACCAGCTAGCACTGTGAGCACACAAAGATTGGTAGCAAAACTCCAGCCACGCGAATCTAGTGAGACGTCGACTGCCTGTTCGTTCCGCTCTGTTGCGGACGTTCTTTGTTGTATAACCTGCATGTATAACCTACATGTATTCCTTGCGTCTGTGTTGACAGCACGGATGGAATGAATCACTGCATGAAAATCACAAACCACTTGTGGTCTTTTGGATTCTAATGCGAGTTGAAACCACAGCGGTGAGCTCGATTCGGGCTGAATCATCTTCAGATTGACATTTAGTGTTGGCTGATCCAGAGTGGTTGCTTGCTCTGAGACTGTTTCAGAGACTGTTTCAGTACTACATGAATTTATTCGTAATTGATGCTGACCATCGTGTTTGTTTTTTATCAGCTAGAGTTACCTGAGTAGACTCACCTCTCTGTTGTTCCACCTCCGCGCAACTTATTTCGGACGCATTGTTTTCATGGCACCCTTTAGATTCGGCGATAAACATTTTCGGATTTCGTCAGAGGGGTCGACAGCTTCATTTTAAGAATAGAGCTAGTTCAGGTGATATAGGAACACTGCTGTACCATCCCCACTCCGCTCTATTTTGAAGCTGTTCTGCACAGTTCGTCTTCCGCTAGACTTGTTGTAGAATCGTTAACTTGCAATTAATGTCGTACTCAGAGAGAAAGATGCTTCAACTTTGTTGGAGTTTATCAAATTTCCCGTACTGCGCAACCTGCCATTCGTGTGGAAACGCTGTTCAGAAAACACTACAAACGAGCCGAAATTTATTTAATCTGACGTTTCAGCAACAAAAGGGAAATTCGGAAGACAAGTGTGAAAGCCATGGAATCTCAAAAGCATCTCAAAAGTGTAGTGTTTTGTTCGTTTTATGAGTACGGTATTGTTATATCTGCTGATTCGCCGACCTGTGGTGTCTGCTGCTAACCCGCTCCAGTGCCTACTGCCGGAGAAAAAACTCACAGAAGGGAACACAACAGCTATATTCCGAACAAGCGAGTGAGGGGGCGTGAG